GCACGAATGTACGGTGCGCCGCGGCCGAAGAAGGCCGCTCGGGAGGAGCGCCGTAAGCGCGCCGTATGCACAGTGAGCTGGGCGCCTGAGGAAGGTGCGAGAAGGTCAGGAAGGCTCTGACTGCTGCGCGCGACGCCGACTGCGGCGCCGTCAGCACGGGCACGACCGGCAGCCAGAGGGGGATGTGAAGGGTGCGTCGACAACGGCGGCGGCGGAGTGCTGCCATGGCTCCCGCAGCGTAAAGTCCACGATGTCGAGCGTCGACACGTTGACCAGAGACTGCACCACCAGCCGGATGAGGCCGAGCAGCGCGAGGTAGCAAAATAGAGCCCAGCCCGCCCGCCGGAGCCACGGCCCGAGCGAGCGCCGCGACACGCCGGCGAGGCCGCGCGGCGACAGATAGTGGAACTCGCCCTCATCCTTTGCGAACTGCTCGCTGCCCAGGTTCTCGTCGATGTCGCCGCTGTCGGACAGCCGCAGCTCCTGCTGGCTGTGCTCAAACTCGGTGGTCTGACGGATGATGGCGAGGCGCTCGAGGCCGACCCCGGAGCCGGAGAGGCTCATACGGCCGCTACCGAGGCTGGAGCGACGGCGGCCAATAACCGGCTCTATCATTGGCTTCCTTATCGAAGGGCTGCGCGCTTCAGCTGGCGCCAAGCAAGGGATTAACAGCGCGCCAAACCAGCACAATCCTGCACAGACGACCAAGGGATAGGGTGGGCGACGGCTAGCACCACACTCCTATCCTTAAAATCCCTGTGTGGTGGCGGCGTGCCGTGGTCCTCCCATCCCTAGGTAGGTAGGTAGGTAGAAAGGTGAAGAACAGCCAGGCTCGGACTGGACACCAACGCGGTCTCTCTTCGGTATGGGTGGACGCGAGACAGATGATGACGACACGCACGAGCGACACACAGACACAAACAAGCTCACAAGACACACAGCCAGCGTGGCTGCCACACACACACCCTGGAGTTGGCGTACACATAACTCAGGGCCACATTCTTCCTGTCGCCCCCCCCAGCACTCCAAGGTGCCAAGAGAAACAAACAAGGGCACAACATCCCTCCCTTGGGTTGTCTGTTTTCTTTCTTTCTTTCTTTCAAAATCCTGCAAAGGTGGGGACGTGTCTGTCCCCTCGACCCAGCCCTAGCTTGGGATAACGAATTTTCCCCCTTACTAGGCAACACACCTTCATTCCTTCTTCCCGTGAAATCCCTGTGTGGTGGCGCTGGCGGCGTGCCGAGTCGCGACTCGCGAGTGCCGTCCTCCCAGATGCCTCCTTTGGCGTGGTTTGTCTAATTTCTTTTCTTTCTTTCTTACACTAGGCACGGGACTGGCGCGCACTGGCACTAATATAGTCCCACGTTAACACAGGTACACCACTCTTTTTGAAGAAACGAGAACTAAGTCCTCTGCAGCATCGGCCGCTGAGCCTCGCGTGCCGACTCCAGCTCCATCTCGTCCTGTATGCTCCCCTGCATGCTCACCTCCCTGACCAGCGCTCGACTAGCCTCTGGGTCGCGCTCCGTCGGCCGAGCGGCCATCGAGTACGAGTAGACGGCGTAGCAGACCACACAGACGCCGCACCAGAGGGTGAGCGACGGCCGCAGGTTGAAGAAGATGGCCTACGTTGCGGGTACACCACCAGTGAGCGTAGTGCGGATACAGCACCAAGGGTGGTGAATACGGTGCGAGAGGCAGCGGAGTGCGTGTCTTCTCGAGTGCGAAGTTGCAGAGGGGCGTGTGATCTGGGGAGGAGGCGCCGAGATGATGCAGAGGACGACGGCGGTGCAGTCGGTGGCGATGCACTTGAGGACCGCGTCCGCGTACTTGTACACGAGGTTGATCGCGATGCCGATGAGCGTGTTGCATGCGACGACCGCCACCGCGAGCGGGCTGTCGTACCCGTCGAAGAAGCCCAGCCCGGCTTGCGCGCTGCTCGGGTTGGACACGAGGAAGAAGGCGGTCACCTGCGGGGAGAGGAGGCCGAGGTGCAGCCGGGTGTGGCCGAGGCTGCAGTGGCAGGGAGACGGCGAGCGCGTCGAGCGAGGCCCCGTTGGCCCCGCGTACATCGCTCATCTCTCCCGGCTGTATCTCGGCCGTATCTCGGCTGTGTCTCGGCCATCTCACGTTGAGCGCAGCTCCGCTCGCGTACAGCACTGAGTTCTGCACGTTGAGTGCGATCCTGTAGTGCTTGACGATGTACTCGTTCCGGACTGTGCAGACTGCGGTGATGCCCACGCTGAAGGCCATCAGCCCGTACACGCGCAGTGGGTAGCGGCCATGGCCGCGGCAGGGGTCGTGCTGCACGATGATGATGCCAATCATCTGCAGCACCTGTGGTGCATTCAACAACGGAGCTTGGTGGTGGGGCGGCCACCGGGGCGCTGGCCCACCGCCGTCTCTGCTGCACCATGGCGCGAATCTGCTCGCCGCTGAAGCGCCTGCCGACGCAGAGCATCTGGATGGCGGCGACGATGAGCGCGTTGGCCGCCTTGAAGAGGAATATCGTGCCGGGGTCCATCTGGATGGCGACGTAGAAGGCGAGCTGGTTGTTGAGCGCGTAGAGCGAGGCGAGCGAGAAGATGTGGAGGCACGCGCTCAAACTAAGCTGGCCGCTCGCCGCCGCCCAAGCGCTGCTCCCATTCTCGCGGTGCGGATCGGCGACGTGGAGGGCGACAGTGATGGCGAGCTTCGATGTCTCGGCGATGGCGATGGCCGACATTGTCGAGAAGTGGAAGCCCCCTCCGTGCGCCTGAGCAACGCGGTAGAGAACCCCAACTGTGATCTGCACCGCCATCAGCCCGAGCACTGCGGAGACCTTGGTCTGCCATGCCGAGTCCGGCATGAGACTATCGTTCTCCTTGAACGATATCGGTGTCGAAACACCGCTCTGACAGCGCTCACAGCTACAACGTCCGGCGCCAAGCGACCCCCAAAAGAATTTTACCCCACGTTGCGAAGCCTCCTGAACGATGCCATCGGCAGAGAGGACGCGCGCGCGAGGCAATGGAGCGCGGCGAACGCCAGCATCGAGGGGAACGAGAGCGTGATGGAGCGAAACGACATAAAATCAAGCAGTTACAACAGACAGGTCCAGGACCAACAAGACAAGTCTTGGACGGGCAGTCTTGGACGGGCACTGTGGGTGTGGAAGTGTGAACGTCTGCGCTGTGGGGGAGTTATGCCCCCGGGAACAGCCCCTCCTGGCCAGAGCACGGGGGTGCGAGGGACACAACACAGTGAAAAGGGGGACTAACTACAGCCCCTAGAGCGCAACTGACGTGATCATGCAAAGGTGTCGAGCTGCTTGATCAGCTCGACAAAGACGGCGCGAGAGGCAGCCTTGGTGAGGATGTCGGCGAGCATCACAGCGCCGGGGAGGTGCTCGACAGAGACGACCTCGCGTGCGACAAGGTCACGGAGGAACTCGGCGGCGCGCAGGATGTGCTTGGTCTTCTTGAATGCGACGGGGTCGAAGGCCATGCCGACGGCGGACTTGGAGTCGCACTTGATGACGCTGGGGGCGTCGATGATGAAACCGAGGTCGATCAGTAGCTCGCGGATGAAGATAACTTCCTTGGCGGCGAGCATGGCGCCGAAGAACTCGGCCTCGGCGCTCGAAAGCGTGACGGAGCGCTGCATCTTGGAGAACCAATGAAACAGGCACCCGTAGTAGAAGAACATCCCGCCGGAGCACGAAAACTTGGTCGCCCAGCTAGAGTCGACAAAGCTCTCGAGGCCACGGACGGGATCAGGGCGCATGACAAGAGCGCGGTCAGCGGTGTCGCGCAAGTAGACGAGGACACGAATCGCAGCCTTAAAGTGCGACGGGCCGGGGTTGGTCATGAACCGAGCGAGCTGCGAGGCGGAGTAGGCGATGTCGACGCGCGTCATATTCGCAAGCCAAAGGAGCCCGCCGACGATGGCCATGTACGCATCGCGAAACTTGGACATCTCGTCGTACTCGACGGAGCCGAGAACGGGCTGATCGGCGGGAGAGAGCTCGAGGCCTTCCTCAATCGGCGAGTCGAAGTGGCGCGAGCGCGAGCGATCAAAGTACGACTCGAACTTCGCGACGAGGTCGGCGGTGTAGAGGCCCTGAGACAAGGTCAGAGAACGAGCAGCGCGGTCGCGAGTGATCGCGGTGTTGAGGATCCATTCGAGCTCGCCCTTGTCCTCGGTAGGGAAGCGTCGCGAGATGTCGGCAACAAAGCGCGCACGTAAGTTGGGGCAGTTGTCGGCGAGGAGAATGTCGTCGACATAGACGAGAGCCCACAGGACGGTGCCGTCCTTCTCGTAGGTGTAGAGGCAGACATCGATGGTCGAGCGCACAAAGCCCCACGACACGAGGAAGGAAGAGAGGAGCTGAGCCCATTCACGACCAGCCTGCTTGAGCCCGTAGAGGCTGCGGCGTAGCTTGCATACGAGCTCTCCGCCGCGGTTGTTGACGCCGGGCGGGGCGCGCATGTAGAGATCCTCATCGAGGGCGGCCTGAAGGTACGCCTGGCGAATGTCGAGGGAGCTGAGGTTGTAGTCACGCGCGGCAGCAATGGCGAGAACGAGCCGGATGGTGAGAGCCTTGACAACAGTGGCGAAGACGCGGTCAAAGTCAACACCATGCTTCTGCGTGTTTCCGTCGGCGACGAGGCGTGCCTTGAACTTGTCGATGGACCCGTCGGCCTTCCGCTTGATGGCAAAAACGAAGTGGCAATGCATCACGTTGGCGCTGGTAGGCACGGAGGCAAGAGGAACGAGGTCCCACGTCTTGAGAGCGACGAGGCCGGCGAGCTCCTTGGCAATCGCCTCGCGCCACTGCTCGGCCTGTGGGCTCGACATCGCTTGCCGGTAGCTCTTCGGAACTCGGAGGGCGCCTTGATCGGACGTCAGCGTGACAGAGTAGGCGCCGCCAGCGCTGCGAGCGGCGGTGACGAGGGCAGTGTCGTTGGACGAGTCGTAGCCGAAGAAGGCGGCGTCGACGGCGCCAAGCGAGTTGTCGACTGCGAGGAAGTCGTCGGCACGGCACTCGCCGTGAACGGCGTTGGCGACAAGAGCGGCGGCCATGTTGGCTGAGAGGCGCGGAACTGGGGCGATGAAGGCAACGAGGAAGGCGCAGGCGAGCTGACCAAGGTGCTGAGCACGAATGCGAGCTGAGCGGCGAGGTGGAGTGAGGCTACGCATCCTGACGGGTTCGGTAGCGCGAGGTGGGAGGCGCGTGACTTCGACGGGGACCTCGACGGTGGCCCCTCCTGAGCGAGTCGCGGCAGGAGTGGCGGGAGAAGGCGCGGGAGGCGTCGAGGGCGGCGCAGGAGCGGGAGCAGGCGCGTCATCGCCGCGAGCGTTAGCGGTGGTTTCGCGAACGGAGCGCTCAGCTCTGCCTTGTGGTTGCGGCTGCTGCTGCGCCGGACCAGCAGCAGGTTCGGGAGCGTCAGGCCGGTCGGGCGGCGGGGCGGAAACTGACTCTGGAACGCCGCTGTCAGGGGGAAGCGCCTCATCACTGGGGAACCACGCGTAGCGATGCCCTTTGAGGCCAGGAAACTGGTCCTCCCAGACGCGCAGCTTGGCGACGACCTGGATCACCTTGGTCGAAAAGAGGTAGACGACACAGGCTGTGAAGACACTTGTGCGTCTTGGGGCCGGGGTTGTGTTTTTGTGTCTTGGGGCCGGGGTTGTGTTTTTGTACCCTTTCTCGACTGTCTGAGCTTGTGCGTCTTGGGGCCGGGGTTGTGTTTTTGTGTGAACATGCGTGTCGCGCACTCGTTCATGACCGGTCTCAATGTCCCACCCCCTTGCGCGCGGGCCTTCTAGGCCCGCGGGTAGTCTCCCCCCATCCCCAGGGCCTCCAGGACTCGCACCTCAACCTCTCACAGACCAGCGCACAGCGCCAGAGGACGTATTTTGTTCTCATAACAAGGCTGTGAAGACAGTACCGCCCCAAAGGCTTTCGTGCAGCTTTCAGTGATATATGTCGTTGCTCGCCGCCCCGACGCGTCAGGCGCTCCTCTCGTTACTGCCCGCGCTAACGCCTACCAATCGTCAATCCGCGGCCATCGCTTGCACCAGGCCAGAGCCCTCGACCATCGCTAGCGCCGATGCCAGCTGCAGCAGACCCGAGCTGCTGACCTCGTACGGCCAGTTGGTGGGATCGCTGGTCGACGAGGTCGCGCTCGCCACTGCGGGAGACACGGTCGAACTTGGCCTGTACCTGCTGGAGGGCGGCGACTCTAGCGCGCGCGTGCTCGATGCGCTGGAAACGGCCGGCGGGCGCGGCGTGCATGTCAGCTTCGTGCTTGACGTGTCATACGTGTCCGAGATCTCGCGGCTGATCGAGAGGACAGACACACTCATCCCTCGGGTTGCGGAGCTGGCGCGCCGCCACGACTGGTGCGACGTGACCTATCGGTCCAAGCCCGATCACGCAAAGTATGCGCTCTTCGCGCGGCGCGCCGGCGAGGCCGCCATCCTCGGGGGCATCAACCTCGGCGATCGGTTTGACGACTGGGAGGACTTTGCTGTGCGGCTGCCGCCGCCGCAAGCAGAGCGGCTCCGCCTCTCTCTGTGGGGTGGCCCGGAGCGGAAATCACCCACCGCCGCCGCCAGCGACCTTGGCGCTCGCCGCGCCGCCGCCTACGCCGGCCCCGTCGTCGCCGCCGCCACCCTCGCCGCCCTCGCCGCCACCACTGCCTTTGCCGCCACCGCCGCCTTCGCCGCCACCGCCGCCTTCGCCACCACCGCACTCACGACGACTGGCGGCGCTGCCATTTCCGCCAGCTCGCTGGCGCTGGCGGGCGGGCGGGCCGCGGGCAGCACGACGGCGCTCGGAGGTCCCTTCTCGCTGCTGTACGAGCTTCGCGTCCTCGTGCGCTCTCTCGTCTTCGATCGCAGGCGACGTCGCTTTCGAGAAGCTCCCACCGCCACACACCCGCGCGCCAGATGGCTGCTAGAGCCTCGCCGAGCATCGGCCAGGCACTGGCCGGACGTCCTCTGCCGAGCCCCTCCCGCCACCGTCCCTTGGCTCCCTGCCGCTCAGCAGCCCGACACCTGCCCGCAGCCTGCTGGGCGACCTCCTCTCGCCACTCCGCTCCTCGTGGCCGGACGGCGCAGAAGACGTCCTCGTCGGAGGCGAGTGCGATGTCGACGCCGGCGCATCGGGAGGAGGAGGCGGCGCGTGCGACGGCCGCTACTTGCCACGCGCGTCGCTGTCGCTCGCTCCGCCGGCCGTCGAGTTTGTGTGCAACCGGCGCGAGCAGGGCCGGCGCGAGATTAGCGGAGAGACGAGAGGAGCCGTCGCGTTGGTCGGCGCTGGAGCCCTCCACGGCCACACCTCGCCCACTCCCCAGCCACCCTCCATCTCGCCCACACCTCGCCCACACCTCGCACCTCACCCACACCTCGCCCACACCTCGCCCACACCTCGCCCACACCTCGCCCACACCTCGCACCTCGCCCACACCTCGCCGCCCGCACCTCACCCACACCTCGCCCACACCTCGCCCACACCTCGCACCTCACCCACACCTCGCCCACACCTCGCCCACACCTCGCACCTCGCCCACACCTCGCCGCCCGCACCTCACCCGCCCCTCGGCTGCCCTCGCAGGCACGAGATCGAGCCAACCTTCCGCGCGCTCTTCGGCGACACCCGCTTCGGCCGCTACCGCGTCGCGATGGCGTACCTCGGCCACCGGTGGGGCGTCGAGCTGCTCGAGTTTGCGCGGCGTCCTAGATGCGGATCACACGCCTCTCTTCAAACTCGCCCTCGAGAAGACACGCACTCCGCTGCCTTGCATCGTATTCACCACCCTGGGCGCTGTATCAGCAGCGCCATGCGACGAATACGCTGCACAACGGCTTCGCACCCGGACTTGTTTGTGTTGTTTTTGACTTTGGTGTACTCGCAACACGCGTAGGCGCTGCGGCGCGGCGCGGTCGTCGAGCTGTTGCTGCCTGAGTGCGCGAACGTCTACGCGCACGAAAACCGGAAGGCGGCGCAGGCGCTTCTCGACGGAGGCTGGCCCACGCTGCGGCTTTTCCTCTCGCCAGTGATGGTGCATGCAAAGGCGACTCTCGCGTTGCGCGGCGACGGCGCGGGCGGCGACGGCGCGGGCGGCGACGGCGCGGGCGGGTACGGTGGCAGCAGCAGTTCCACGCAGGGCGACCTCGCGTTCCTCGGCTCGGCGAACCTCGTGCGCGGCTCGATGAACTTGCCGGTCCACCAGGGGTTGCTGCCGTACGATGAGCTCAACGTGCTCGTGGCCGACGCCGAGTTCTGCGCGACGCTCGACTCTGCGCTCGACAAGCTCTTTGCGCGCGCACGGCCGATCGCGCCGGGTCACGACTTGCTCGCGGAGCCGGGGTGGAGCGACCCGAAGGGCCGCGCCTACTCGGACGCAAGAGCGCAATGGGAGGAGCTATGGCAGTGACGAGCCAAATAAATAAAAATAAAATAAAACCGTCAAACTCTGGGAGACGAGAACAGATGGGATTAGTGACGAGAGCCACAAGGCTGCGCCTGCGGCGTGCGGGTGCCCGCTGTTTTACGTTTAGCTTGAACCGTTCTTTCTGAGAAGCCTTGTGCACCCCGCGCTGGTGGATGCTTTCACGTTGCAGACTTGCGTCCGCGACGCCGGCCGGACGGTCTCGTCGGCTCGCGGGGAGGGGTAGCCACGTATATAGGGTATTATAGCACGAGATACGAGCCGCAGAGCACGGATGGCGCGCAGCACAGACGGCCGTTATTCCTGGACGCGTATCTAACCGCCCCTGGGCTCTTTGATAGGGCAATCTCATAAACACCCCTTATTTGACACACGACTGAAGGCCGACCCCTATGTGACTCCTATAACATCGCTGGGTGGGCCAACCTCCTTCCCCGTGAGGCCAACATGTAAGCGATGAGGGCGCTGGTGCTGCAAACGTAGATGGCAGTGCGGGTCAGAGTCGTATGCGCCGCCGCGTCAAGACTTGCTCCAATCAGCCTCTGAAGCAAAGACGAAAGAGCCTTCTTCTCGGAGTATTTGGTCGGCTCAAAGCGCAGGCTGGTGGCGAATAGAGACTGCGTCGGGTCCAACAAGGCGTCGAGCACCCACCAAGCGACCAGCCTCTACGACGGTTCAGCGGCTGCAGGCGTCATGCGACGCGCGGCGCAACCGATGATGCGCAAGTATCGGTTGCGCACTGACGAGGCGGAGCGGTCGCAATCCATCTTGATGGCGATCTGGGCAGGTGCAAGGAGAGGCAGGTGATAGGAGGATAGTTGGCTAACGTAGAAGGCAGGGGTTAAGGTTGAGCAGTCATCTCTCTATGTGCTGGACTCTCAGGCGGGCCCACGCCTGCCGCCAATTTGGCCCGATCCGATGGACCTGCTGCAGCACAAACTGGTCCTCCTCCGCGGTCCAGGGCAGCGGAAAGTTCGCATCGCGCCGCAGGGTCGGGTAGGGTGCCGCCTGACGCCGGGTGCGGCAACGGTCCGAGAGAGGCGGCGAGGGCGCAAAACGTGAGAGAGCGGGCTGTGGGGCAAGCGAGCGCAGCCAGAACAGAGACTGCAGGGTGTGTGCCACGCCTGCTGCCGGATCGAGCCGCCGCGTCGCTGCCGGAGCTTGGCCCACCGGTTTCGGATTGAGTCAATGCTGCGGTAAGTGGGCAGCGCCTGCCGCCAGACAGGGCCCGTACGAGGTGTGCGGCAAGCAGCTTGGGACGGGGGGTGCGCAATGAATCATACAAGCCCAGGGAGTGTCAGCGAGTGTCTCGGAAGGTTGACACAAGTGTCGCTTTAGTCACCTTTTGGACGGCGGGCCACTTGCGTGGCGGGAGCGGCTCCTGGCTGAGCACTCTGACCAGGATGGCGTCCTCCTCTGGCGACCACATCCTCCGGCCCGAGGAGAGCCGCTCGCCGATCACGCTCTCGTCGTTCTCGTCGAATTCATCGCTCACCATATCCCCGTCAAGGCCTAGGTGACGCCGCGAACGGTTGTGCTAGATGAGGCCAGTGCTGCGCTCAGCTTGATTGCGAGGAGAGGGTATCTCAAACCGATCTCGGTGGTGTGCCAAATGCGTCTCAATCGTGTCTCAGCGCACTCGAATCGAGCGAGGAGGAGGAGGAGACCGAGAGGGGGGAGACGGGGAGGCTCGCGTCGGTGTGATGCAGCACAGGCGAGCCCGGCAGATTGGTGCAGCTGCGATCCAGCGCCCCCTTGAACCCTTCCGCGTGGAGCAGTGACGAGCTCGCCGGAGGGCAGTCGCGGAGGGCAGTGACCTCGCCAAGCGCGTCCGGCTCGGCCGGCGGTGCAGGTGAGGCCAAGGGTGATGGTGGCGCTGTGTCGTCACCGCTGGCCTCCTGCGGCTCGCTGCTGTGACTGTCGCGCCGCCCCACCTCCTCAAGCTTGCTGGCCACCTCCTTGCACGTCTCGGCGAATATGAACCGGAAGGCGTTGATGCCTGTGGCATGCAAGTGTAGTAGTGGCCGCGGGAGTGTCACCCGCTGTTCCGGATGCAGCATGGTGGGAACAGTGCGATTCGGAGTGTGTGCGAAGGGTATCCGAGGTGGCGCAGCGCGTTCAATTGTTGGGTGGCAGCGGGTGTCGGCTGGTGGCTGCCAGTGTCTGTTTGCATACCTTCCGAGACGTCAATGCCCTCGAGCACGTCTCGCAGCTCTGGGTTGATGAAGTCATCGACTACCTCGTCGTCATCGGTGCTCAGCACACGCGGCGCCATCGCATGGAACGTCGAGAAGAGCTGCGGTGGTCGCAGCGCGGAGTTGGCCGACATGCCTCACTGGTTGGCTTGCAGGACTGCCACCGCACTGACTCGTGCAACTCTTGCTGACTCGCTCCAAACTGAAACGAGTGACTCAACACAAGCGGAAGCGAGCGTCGATGTGGCGCGTGGAACTCTCCTATACAAATAATCCCCGAAATCCGGCTTTTCCTTGATTAGGCACATACGTGGGCCGATCTTACGACAATTCGCAGATTATTGCTCATTCATGCATTCATCAACCAACCAACGAACGAACGAGAAGGACAGGGCCCTTACCTGCATGAGCAAGCAGGATCTTGGAAGGACGATTGGGGACACAGGCCACAGGGGAACGGACGGGGGCGGGGAGCGCATCGCGACACGGAGGGGGGAGGGCGGGAGGATGCTGGGCAGGATTCACCCACACGACAGGTCCCAGGGATCCCTCTCTCGTATAGGACAGGGCACACCCGGTGTGGCACGGGGGCGGCGCGGGCCGGAGAACGAGTAGCGAGCGTCGCGCGGCCTTCCGGAATTCTGCATAGTTGTAGGTATGTTATAGTGTTGTGATGGAGAGGGAGTAATTCCACCCACTCTGTCCTTTGTTTGCACCTGATGCTACAGACAGAGGGTAGCGCGCTCTCCCCGCGGGACCGCTGCCACTGCTGCCAACCATGCCACTACTGTTGCGGCCTGTGCTTCTGTTTTGAAGCGCACCATGACCTAGACGGTGGCGGCTGCGTCCACAAGCACAACAGCCACGCTCCGGGAAATGGAACGCAGCTCCGCTTGCCCATTCCGAGCCGCGAGAGATTTGGCCGTGCCGGCAGTAGCCCCTGGCCTGGTAGTCGCTGCAGGTAAGCGCGCCGCCGGGGCGGGGGCCGTTGTGCCAGTCCGAGACATCCACGCAGGGCATATACAAAGGCCCGGGCAGGAAGTGCTGCCCGCCGGTGAAATCGCCGCGAGATTTTTCTTTCTTTTCGTCCACCGCCGAATAATTCTTTTGCGCCGAGGAAGGGGGGTATACCCGGGTAGTAGATTGAGTGCGATGGATGGCTCCGACCTCAGAGTCGCCCTCTGGCAGCAAAAGCCGCCTCCTCGCTCCTCCGACCCTGGCATCGACTGGGCGCTCAAAGCGCTCGATGAGGCGGCGGCCGCGGCGCAGGATCAGGGCGCCCGGCTTCTTATCCTCCCTGAGCTCTTCCTCGGAGGCTACCGCGCGCTAAGCGAGGCGGGCGAGGTGTGTGGCTTGCGCGAGGGCTCTCCATCCATCGATCGCGTTGCGTCGATCGCCCGCGCACACCACCTCGCCATTGTCCTCGGCTTCTTCGAGCGCTCGGCCAATGGGCGCGTGTTCCGAGATCGGAACAAGACGCGCGTGACTCGGTCTCTGCTGATAGGATCGCCACCTTTCGCTGCAGGCAGCTGTACAACTCGGCGCTGGCGGTGGACGAGGACGGGCGGCTCGCCGCGCTCTACCGCAAGACGCACCTGTTTGGGTCGGCGGAGAAGGCCGCGTTCTCGCCCGGGGAGCGGCTCGGTCCAATCTTCGACCTGGTTGGCGGAGTGCGCTGCGCCCTCCTCATCTGCTACGACATCGAATTCCCGGAGGCGGGGAACTAGCCGAGACCCAGCCGAGACAGCCGAGACTTAGCCAAGACACATCCGAGACCTAGCCGAGACCTAGCCGAGACCTAGCCGAGACACATCCGAGATCTACCAGAGTTCTCTGGCTGAGGAGATATGCAAATCGACTCGCAGGCTGTGCGCAGCCTCGCGCTGGCTGGCGCCTCGCTCATCATCACCCCCACGGCCAACTTCGAGCCCTACTCGTTCGTGAACCAGTCGATCGTGCGTGTGCGGGCCTTCGAGTCGCACGTGTCGCTCGTCTATGCAAACTGGGCGGGAGATTCGCAGCGCGTCCGTGCCTTGCAGCGAGGCGCAGCTCACACCGCCTGCCGTAAACAGGCGGGCCACACGTCGGAGGACGGCGTGCGCTTCAACGGGCAGAGCGTCGTCGCGTCGCCGCAGGGCGAGCTGCTCCTCTCCCTCGGCGAGGGATTGATAGAGGTGACCCGAGGTTGACCGAGACTGGCCGAGGTTAGGCGAGCTGCTCCTCTCCCTCGGCGAGGGATTGATAGAGGTGACCCGAGGTTGACCGAGACTGGCCGAGGTTAGGCGAGCTGCTCCTCTCCCTCGGCGAGGGATTGATAGAGGTGACCCGAGGTTGACCGAGACTGGCCGAGGTTAGGCGAGCTGCTCCTCTCCCTCGGGGAGAGCGAGGAGGGGCTCTTCTTCGCCTCCCTGCCTCCCTCCTGCCTCGCCGGCGCAGGCGCCGCCCTCGAGGGGCACGACGACTTTTACCTGCGGGACCGCCGCCCGGCCTTGTACGACCAGGCCGCTGTGAGGGCGGCCGCGCCGCACAAGTTCGAGGCGAGGCGGCCCCGCCCGCTCTCGACGGTCAAGTGCATCCACGGCTGCTGCGACGACGGCCAGCATGGCGCGGACGCGGGAGAGATGTTGGCGTACGGCCGGCTGTGGGCGCTGCACCAGCTCGCCCCCTTCGCCGACTCTGGCCTCCGCCTGGCCGGGGTGTTGGGTGCGGCGGGGCCGGTGGACGCCCGTCCGCTCTGCAGCCTGGACTGGGCAGTGAGGCTGCCGCTCTCGTTGCTGCTGCTCGTTCGCCCGTCCGCGTCGGCGCTGCTGGCGGCGCACGTGTCCAACTTGCTGCTGTGGGCGGTGTGGATGCCGATGGCGTGCTCGGCGCAGGGCAGCTAGGCGTGGAGAGGACCTGCGCACAGCACGCGGCGTGCGAGTAGGCGTGGGACCACATGTGCTGGGCGGCGCTGCTCGAGGCGAGCCTCGTCGTCTGCGCGACGGCGAGCGGCGCCGCCAACCTCCCTCAGTACGGCCGCCGCCTCTCCGGCGCCACAGTCTTCCGGTACTGCTCGACGGTGCTGTGCGCGCAGCACGCGGTCCTCTACGTGGTCGCTGCCTTTTGGAAGCTGACCACGTCCTTCCTCGACCACCGCACGAGCTGTGCGACGGTCCTATCCGCCGCGAGGGTGTCCACCGCTGCTGCTGGCCCGAGAGGGGCGAGGGGAGGGGCTGTGAGCAGGTGCTCTTCGCTGAGCTCGCGACCGTGCTGCCGGACGCCGCGCTCGAGGCGCTGTTGCCGCCGGGCGGGCCGGCGGCGGAGCTGCTGCTCCGCGCGGCTCCCGCCCTCACCGTCGCCCTCGAGCTCGCGATCGGGCGGCTGCTCTTCCTCTGAAGGGCAGGCGGCAGGGGGGGCTGTGAGGTCCACCAGCTGTGAGCAGGCCGCTGCTCGTGCTGTCTCCGCGCGCCGGCGTGGTGGCCGGCTTGCTCTTCCACACAAGCATCAACCTGCTCCCGCTCAACTACGCGGCAGGCTTCTCGCTCATGTGCGTCGCTCGCTACGGCCTCTTCCTCCCCGCCACGCCCGACGCCCTCGCCGAGGCTTTCGCTGCCGGCCCCGCCGCTGCTTACGCCGCCGTGGCGGCTGTCGCTGCGGCGGCGTGTGCGCAGCTGCACGGCGGCATCGACTCGCACTTTGTCGGCTGCGGGCTGCTCGCCGCCCTCTGCCTTCGCGCCATGGCCCTCCCCGCCCCGCTCGCGGAGGTTTGCGCGCAAGGCGGTAGGGTGGCGCTGGCGGTGGGCCTCGCGACACTGGCGCGACCGCTGACAGCTCGTGCGCCGCGGAGGTGTGAAAGAGCGGGAGTCGTTGACGGCGCCCGTGCGTAACGCCCGTGTGTAGGCGACGCTTTCCTGGGGCATTGGCGGCCCCGTGCTCGGGCTGCAGCAGATGAGCGGGCTGACCATGTACGCCAACCTCAAGCATTGGGGCGGGTCGAACCACCTCCTCCTCCCGACCAACCTGCTCGCGGAGACAGACTGGCTTCCGGAGGCGGCATCGCGCGCGAAGCTGCCCCTCCTCTCCGCCCTGCTGGCCATCTTCGGCCGGGCGCAGGGGCAGGTCGGCGCTGAGATCCGCGCGGAGATTGGCCGAGATAAGTCCTCGGCCTCTAAGAGTCAAGATATGTGGCGTCTCTTCACGGTGAGGGCTGTGAACAGGTGGTGCGGGTGGATGCGACCAACTCGAGCGTGCTGCGTGAATTGTCCGCCCCGAGGAGCGTGCGCTTGCAGCCGCGGGCGGCGCGTCCTCACGCGCGGAGCTCTGTGGACAGGTCGCCTGCCGACTCGACGCCGCTGCTGCCCGCGCACGCGGTCGCTTTGATGCGCGCCTCCGGCGCCTCCGGGCGTTACTACGGGCAGTACTGCGCGCGGATGTTTGTCGGTCGAGACAACGACTTGCCGAGCTCGGGTACGATTGGCAACGCGGTTGCCGGCGCTGGCCCGAAGAGCGCTGGCGCGGAGGAGGGTGAGGAGCTTCCGTACGCGCTCACTGCCTACGAGCTCCGCCGCCTCCTCGCCGCCGCCCGGGCGCACGGCGAGCCCTTCACTCTCACCTTCACGCCGTCCCTCCCGACTGCCGGTGCGAGGCGCGTTCCTGGGAGTGTGGTGGGTCCCCGCGGTGACAAGTCGAGGTGTGAACAGGGTCGCCCGCCGATTGGCGCGACTTTGTCGGCGATAGCGCCTCGCTAGTGGAGGATCCGAGCGCGGGCCGCGCCGAGTGCACGATCGCCGGCGCCGATTGCGCGTCACACAAGGCAGCGGCCGTGGTCGCGCTGATGTCCGCAGCGCCGCCTCGCTGGCTGAGCAAGGCGCGCGCTGGCCAGACCTCCGCCCCACCACCACGCTGTGAGTGGAGGGCTTGCCATGCCACAGGTGCTAATGGCGTACCCGGTGCCGCTCCTGCCGCCGTCGGAGGCCGATCCGGGCACTGAGGTCCATTGCAGCGCTTGAGGGGCGGGGGGAATAGGGTCCTCGGAAAATGTGCACACCCACAGTCAGCTCTCTGCTGCTAGATGCTAGCTGAAGCTCTCGTGCGCTTGTGTACGCGCTAACTTTCTCCTGACTCCACGCGTGTATATTTCGTGAGAAACTGCTTGGACGTTGGAGAGTCTCTCTGGGGTCCCCAACACACATATACTCTCTCTCTGGTTGAATCTCTCCTCCTGCACCATCTCTCGAATGCACCTCTCTCTCGTATGATCACCGTGTGTGTGTGTGTGTGTTGAGAGAGTAGACACCGCAAGCCGCAACACACTGATAGAGAGTTGAATGAAGTAGTCGACAAATGGGGGCCGCGTTGATCGGCGACGCGTCAGGCGTCACGCGATGTCACGGTGAATGCTCCGATGAACGGTCAAGTCACTGAGACACCATTCAGACAACCCACTAACTGTCCTCAGCCCATTCGCCGTAATTGTTTAACAGCGCGCTAGCCTTCGGCTCCCCAAAAGCCACGCAGTAGGCCTTTCCATATTTGAAGCACCCTTTGTGGCTCGCGCATTGGCCAATCTCGCCTGCGTTCGGTGGCCCGGCCGATTGGCAACTTGTGAGGGCGGCGCAGCCCCGCGCGCCAGCTAGATGCGCCTTTGCCTCGGTGGGTGCGGGCTGATACCGCTACGCTGCGGCGTAGCGCTACTACAGCCTCGCCTTTGGCATTCACGGTGCACGTATTGCACCCGTCATACCAGCTGAAGCATCCCGGAGGTGGCGTTTCCTCTTCCCTTGTCCCGCCTGTTGGACATGTACGGGAACGGGCGTGTGAGCTCTCGCACCGTTCATGAGCAAAGAAAGTGCTAGGCTGAGGGATGAGGGGTTGGGCGGCGACCTCGGGCTGTAAACGGGGCGCTAATTGTTCCCCAAAAGTCTGTTATCCAGCCACCAAAAAGGGCGTCGGCTGAAGGCAAAATTGCCCACCCTCCCGGGCCGAGCTCGCTGTCAGTGTGTGGGGAGTCGGCTCCATATTCGTATATTTTGCCCTGCTGCTTCTCATTGCACCCAAGTGATGTGCCAGACGAGCAAGCGTCGAGGAGGCGCGTCGCAATGCCACGGTGCGAGGAGGTTAAGGCAGCGGTGAGGAGCAGCGACACGGCTAGGAGTAGGAGGATGGCGAGCGAGCGAAGGGGGCGCTCTCGGGAACGGTCAGTCGAGATCATTGAGTCGCGCACGAGTCGCGACGCGAACCCACGTGCGTACGTCCCGCCCCCGAGCACCGTCCCATGAACGGAGAAAGAGTCAACTTTTTTCAGCACTGGTACGGGACCCCAGTCAGTCAGTGTTACACACGTCCTAGAAGAGAGAGTCGTGATTTCTTGTTGGTTTTCAAAACTCCTCCCTGAACGACCCAGCATGACGGACTAAGGCTGGGGAGCTTGAGCACTTGACTCTTGAGCACTGGATAGGGTCGATTCCGCATGGTACGGGACCCTCGATCGTCTCGCCCCCTCCCTCACTGGTATGCGGTTCATTGCACATTGGGGGGGTCATGGGCTGGTCATGGGTCATAACAAACACCGGTCACCGCGGTGGTACATACAGGATCGAGGTGCACGCCGCCGAGTCAGTGTGTCGACTCGTCGACTGTCGTCCCCCCTCTCTCCACATCAACTCACTTGGGAGACGTCGGCGGTGGTGGCGGTGTGCGATCGAGCCACGAAGGTCGAAGCAGGACAGCTAGCCCGTGTCTGAGCCCTGGTGTCGAGGTGTCGAGGCCCGGTGTCGAGGGTGTCGAGCTGCTGTCGAGGGATAGAGGTGTCGAGGCCTGTCGAGGCCTGTCGAGGCCTGTCGAGGCCTGTCGAGGCTGGGACCAAGCTTGTCCGTGTCGAGGGGTGTCGAGGGGTGTCGAGGGTGTCGAGGGTGTCGAGGGTGTCGAGGGTGTCGAGCAGGTGTCGAGTGTTGTCAAGGGGTTTTGCGTCTAAGGTGTCGAGGTGTCCAAGGTGGCAGGATGCAGTTGCAGCCCATCAACAAAACTTGGGCAGCAGTTGCAAAGCTGTTTCATCCCTTAGTTGCAGCCTCAGTTGCACCCTGTTGATGTAGCACAACCTGAGCACAACCAGTATACTCTCTGTGGACATTTGAGGACATCAAGTGCCGGGAGTCATTGCCACTGTGCACAAAGGTGCTGTGCAGGCGCAGCACCGCAGCAGCGTCGCCGCTGCAGCAGCGTCGCCCCTGCAGCGTCACCGGCGCACAAAGCGCAACTGACCACAGCGCTCATGGCACAAGGCTGGTGCCATGAGTCAGTGGACATTGCCACTGCACAAGGTGCTGTCCAGCAGCTAAGGGCTGCCAGTACCCCATCGCAGCAGCGTCGCCGCCGCTGCAGCGTCGCCGTTGCAGCCGAGCGTCGCCAGTGCACAAAGCGCAATGGACCACAGGCCTGCACTCATGGCACAAGCTCACTGGTGTGAGGATTCATTGCCACTGTACAAGGTGCTGTGCAGCACCTGAGGGCTACCTGAGTACTGCCATGTTTGCTGCATCAACAGGGGTGCAACTGAGCTGCAACTTGAGCTAGAACTTGAGAGGCTGCAACTCAGGGATGAAAGTACTGCCAGCCAAGTTTGATTGCTGCTGCAACCCTGATTTCTAACTCTGACTCCAATGGGTCTACATCTCTGCTGTGTTAGGATCATCAGAGGTGTCGAGCGGTGTCGAGCGGTGTCGAGCGGTGTCGAGCGGTGTCGAGCGGTGTCGAGGGGTGTCGAGGGGTGTCGAGGTGTCGAGTTTGGCACCTTGACACGGACGAGCTTGGTCCCAGCCTAGATGGTGTCGAGGGGTGTCGAGGGGCGGGGTGTCGAGTTGGTCGAGTTGGCATGGGGTGTCGAGGTGTCGAGTCAGTGTCGAGGTTTGGTGTCGAGGTGTCGAGGCCAGGGCTCAGGCCCGTGTAGCAAAGCTGTGACGCGGTATTGTGTGGGCGGACGGGTGTATTCAAGCCGTGGCCCGCGCGACGAGTCGCGCAGCACGCCAGCACGCGCGCAGGAGCCGGTCTCCGCGGCCTCGGGTGTGTAAATCCCGCACCCCGGGAAGATGCGCGGGGCTATGAGTGTGAGCTCTGGTGGTGGTGCGAGAAGTGAGATGGGCCTCCCCTTGTCTGGTTCTCGATTTATGGAGAAGAACGCGCAAGAATAGATTGCGCAGCGCGCACACGCCCCTGCACACATCTGCACACGCTGCTATGCCAGCAAGCCAGCGGAATGACGAATGTGCGGACGACCCTCTCTCGACATGCACCAGGCCAAGTGAGAGGCGATTCACGAGGGTGGCTCGCGATCACAAGCGTGCGCAGCAGACCCGCAGACCGGATGCGCCACAGAGGCAAGGCACGGGAATGTCAGCGCTCTACTTGCGTGGGCGATTGATTCCGTCCTTGGTGCCGAAGCGGCCCTGCTCGTAGCCCTGCTGCTGGTTGAAGGCCTCCTCGCCGGGCGAGAGCAGGCTGCGAGAGGCGGGGACACCACGTCAGAGCGGGCGCCGAGGTTGCGGCGGGAGAGGCGGTGGGAGAGGCGGCGGGAGAGGCGGCGGCGTGGCATAGTGCAGGGTGCAGCCGCACATCGGGACGAGTGCGGTTGCAACGACAGCAATCGCGCCGACCGGGAGCACCCACAGCGGCGCGTCCACCGCGCCGTACGCGCGCTCGCCGTCTGCCTGCACAATCTCGGCCACGAGAGAGGCGACCGAATGCACCGCCGATGCGTCGACAGGTGCAAGGGCGGTGGGCGCAGCGCAGCGCGAGGCGGCGGCCGCCGACACGCGCGCCGGAGAGACGATGAGCGCAGCGCAGCCCGAGAGTAGCGAGAGGAGCAGCAGCGACTTGTGCATTGGTTGCCGGGCAAGCAGCCAGGGTCGCTTTTTCTGCGAGCTTCTCGCCGAAAAAAGAAAGTCCTCGATTTCTAAAATCCCTGTGTGGTGGCGGCGTGCCGTCCTCCCATCCCTCCTTTGTCTGTTTTCTTTCTTTCTTTCTGTCGGGTCCTCCCATCCCTCCCTTGGCTTGTGTGTTTTCTTTCTTTCTTTGTCGGGTCCACTGGTAGGGGGCAGGAGAACCACTGATTAGCCTAAGCACGCTTTTCTCGCCAAGTACTATCTATATTCTTTTGCTTATATTCTCGCCAGACCATCTATATTCTCGAGAATATTCTCGAATATTGAGAATATTTTCCCCACGCGAGAGGTCAGCGGACGCCAAAAATCGCTCTAGAAACATACCCTGCGACCGCCTGGGTATCGTGCCGATTTCCTCAATTTTGCCTCAGATTTTGCCCCAGACCAGCTCTCAGACTCAGGGAAACTCGCGAGTTTCCAGAATGGAGCACCAAACACCCTCTGTTTTCATCCCTGGAAATTTCCGGAAACGCAAAGTGCTGGGGACCCTCTGTTTTCCTTTTTGTTTGCCGGAAAAGTATATGCAGGCCAACGCGAGCCAGCCCGAGGCCGGCCTCGACCGGCCGCGCAGCCGCCCGCCCGAGGAGAGAAGAAAAGTCGGCCAAGGTGAAAAAAGAAAATGAGTGCGAGATACTCGTTCTGTTGCCGTCCCAAGCTGTCACTCCCCTTTCTCCCGGCCGGGGTGGGGCGCGCGCGGGGGGCGGCGGGTGTGCGGGATGTCTGTGATGGGCCCGAGAGCGATATGCCATGTCCGCCTTGCGCTCGTTGCTCCTCCGTCTCTTTGTATCTTCCATACTGCGTTTATCAGAAGACTTGCGTTTGTTTCACAACATTGATGATGAGCTGAAAGAATTCTTAAAATACAAGCCTCTCTCACAGCACACTGGCACGACAAGGGCGCGGACTGGCGCGGACTGGCACACACACCGGCTCACTGAGCTGAAAGAAAAGTGAGCCACCGCCTGCCTCGGCTCGCCGGCAGGTCAGCGAAAATATGGAAAGCTCACGCATGCCGCCCGCGGGGCGGAAACGTAAGCGCGGGCGCGAGATCTCGGCCGGCGAGTCGGGCGCCGGCTGCTCGGCTCCGCTCGTCGACCCTGCCA